TGAGGAATTGAACCCAGGGCCTCATGCATGTGAGGCAAAAACTGTACCACTGAGCCACCTTCCCAGCCTCAGGACTCCATTTTTGTAGCCATGGAAGGGCTGGGGCCAAGACTATGTTGCTAACTGACTTTGGACCCTGCTGACCGCCAGAGACTCACAACGGCCAAATGTAGTGCTCATCGGCAAAAGGATCAAAATCATCAGTTTGAACCACCAACATAGTGTTTATGAAGTGAGGCAATATATTTGACAGGTTAAGATCCAAATGTTGTTGTTCAGTAGTTTAAAGATGAATATTAACAATTTCAGAGTAGTGAGCACTTTTGATATGTGTAGCAGCCTACATCCATGAAAGAGAGCAAATATTCAAGCTACACAATATATAATAATACCTTGTGTGTCTCCCACCTTTTTACAGATGGCAACAATGGAAATCAAGGCAATAGGGTTACCTGAGAAACTCTGTGAATTAAAAACATACAGTAACACAATTCTGGACAACACACAAAACCACCTTTAGGGAGACTTTTATTTTACATATGCCATTGTGAGATCCAGAAACTTAATATTCTTATCCACAATATCTTTGATTTATATATTAAGGAAGAGTTATCTGGAAAAAGAATTATCATTGGTTAATATAAAGGAACAAGGAATCTGTTACTTAAAAACCAACATAAAATCTGAAGTCTTGATATGACTTTGTTAACTTTCAACTACAGTGATCAGCTAATAACTACTACAGTGATTTGGGAATCACAGTATGGCTAATCCAGGGCTTGTTTTCAAGTGTTTATATCTTACTCTTTGCAGATAAAATGATAAATCCAATAGTACTGCTTTTTATTCCCGTAATATTTGGCATTCAAAGAAATCCAAAGAACTTCAGAGTACATATAATCATAGACTAGATATGGTAAATACATTTGAAACAAAGTAAGTTATTGAATAAATATCTTAGCAGTAGGCCAGCATCAAATGACTGTGGTCTTAATCTGTAAATAGATTCAACTGAAAATAGAAACCCTCAATAAATTCAATACTGTTTAGGTTATTCAAGCAAATGCTATGCTTTCTGAGTTATAAATGGTAATCATAACATAATGAAATCTCAAATATCTATCCTGTACATAGTAATTAATAGAGTAGAGTGGCCCACTCTTCCCACTCTTCTGGGAGTGAGAAGACATAGATAGGTTAGGCAGAGAGGATATGATAAAGAGGGAAGACCCCAGACAAAGGAAACCAGTGGTATCCCTGGGGATGTAGTGTGTCACAGAGAGCTAACTAAAAGAAGTTTGACTTTAAAGGATTCTGAACCATTTAAAATAATATTCCAAGTAAAACTCTCTCTTCTCTCTCTCTCTCTCTCTCTCTCTCTCTCTCTCTCTCTCCCTTCCCTGTAGTACTGATCTTTGAACTCAGGGCCTTGTTGCTTGCTAAGTGCTTGAGCCATGCCCCAAGACCTATTTGCTTTTAGTTTATTTTTCAGGTAGGTTCTCACATTTCTGCTAAGACTTACTTCTGATCACAGTCTCCTACCTTAATCTCCAGAATAGCTGGGATTACAGGCAAGGGTACCATGCCTGGCCCTCACCTGTTTCTTGGCTTAACTAGAGTTCTTTTCTTTTCTTTTTCTTCTTTCCCTCCCTCCTTCCTCCCTTCCTTTCTTCCTTTCTTCCTCTTTTCCTTTTTTCCCTTTTTTTGGTAGTATTGAGATCTTGAGTTCTGGATCTTGTACTTGCTAGGCCTGTAGTCTTACTCCTGAGTCCTGTTATTACTTCCTGCCCAGACACACTGCTGGGTGTGAGCTGCCTACATGAGACTTTCAGTTATAGCTAGGATTATAGGGGTACACCACTGTATACAACTCTCCATTGTGAAGGGGTGTCATGAACTTTTCTGTCTGTCTGGCCTAGAATTGCAATCTTCCTGTCCTCAGCGCAAGCTACTATGCCTGGCTCTGACTCCTTACTTTTCTTAACAAGCAAAAAGTCCAGTATGGTCTGCTCATTGGCAATGAACTGGGTACTGTTTCTGTATAGCAAGTAGAGGAAAGGGAGATGCAGAGTGGCCACCACATGGAAGACATACGTGTTTGATATTGCTTTACCTACTGCTGTAACACAGAATTCAGTTATATTGGAATCCAGTGGAATCTGCAATTAACCCTCTTCCAAGCAGAAATGTAACTCAAAAACCTGAGTCACCTGGACTCAGGTAATCAAACCACTGTCCAAAGCTGTCTAATGGTGCACTAAACAGACCAGAGAGCATGCTTTCATATGAGTGCTATCCTTTTATCCTATGGCACTGGAAACCATTATATTCGAGGAGTACATGTGTGATTTCACCAACCTGTAGGCAAGCTGTAATGAATGAGTGTGTAGAGCAAAGCAGCTCTGTGCAAGCAGGTTATATTTCTTTACCTGGAGCACAGGATTTGAAATACATATAGATTCTAGACTCTACCCCAGACCTCACACTCTTTGGATGGGACTCAGTAATATGTATCTTCACAATAATTCTGGGGTAATTGAGCCTGAGGAGTGAGGGACTTCTTTGTTAAAGCACAAGCCCAAATCCTACCTAGATCTTATGTTTCATTCTAATTCTCAGGCCCTACACAGAGACAGAACAGGTCTTTCCTGTCTTTCCTTTCTTGGGCCTTTCTATTTATAGAATGAGGGTGGACTAATTTCCTTCATTGCCTGTTTTTACAGATGAAGGCACAAACTCAGAGATCTTAAATGCCTGACTCAAGGTTGCACAGAGTACTAATGGCAAGAGAGTCAGGCAATAGAGCTGAACACTCCTTTTCCTTTTTCTCATTTTCCATCGCTATCTTTACATTCACCTACCATTGAGAAAACAGTAGACATCTAGGAGCTTCCTTGAAAAAAAAGATCCAAATTACAATATATAGTCCCCAAGAACTCACTTTCTTTCTTTCTCTCTCTCTCTCTCTCTCTCTCTCCCTCCCTCCCTCCCTCTTTCTTTCTTCCTTCTTTCCTTCTTTTTTTTTTTCTGTTGGTCATGGAGCTTGAACTCAGGGCCTGGGCACTGTCCTTGTTCTCTTTTGTTCAAGGCTAGCATTCTATCACTTTGAGCCAAAGCTCCATGTCCAGGTTTCTGGTGGTTAATTGGAAATAAGAGATGCATGGGCTTTCTTGCCTAGGCTGGCTTTGAACTGGGATCCTACTGTATTGAATCCTCAACCTGTGGTACTCAGGATTGCAGGCATGAGCCACCAGTGCCAGCTTAGAATATTTTCTTTAAAGGGGAACCTAAATTTAAAAAGTCAGGACTCCTCTTGGGGCCCCTCTCTGAACTCAGTCTTATCACTTTCCTTTTGTGCTTTTTTTTCACTTTCAACTAAACTTAGCAAGGAAGGAAGGAAGGAAGGAAGAAAGGAAGGAAGGAAAGAAAGAAAGAAAAGAAAGAAAGAAAGGAAAGACTCAAGAAATGTATCAATCAGCTGCATTATTTGAGTATTTGGGTCTCAATTGTAGAAACAAAAAGTTTATGAGACAGTCATAAATCAGGAAATCCAAAACATTGCTTGAATAGTTAATTACAGGAAGGACTCACATTTAACTGTTAAGAGTGTGGTGCTATTGTTATAATTACATTTTTAAGAGCTCCCATTCTAGAAATACATGTAGAAATACTTATGGATATTGTGGATGTTTCCAGTCCGTGATCCAAGGAGAGTAGCTGGGCTTTGCCACAGATTTGAGGGGACTGGGAGTTGGTAATTACTGAATCAGATTGATGATTGCACTGGGCTTTTTATACTACGGTCTCTACTTCTTTGTACATTTAAATTTGTTTCATTATCAAACAGAATGTTTTAAAGATCCACTTATTTCAAGGCTGGTTTAGAGTTTTGTGAGCTATTGAGTTCATCTCTACAATAGATGCTTAATTCTGAATTCCACAACTTGTTGGCATATTCACAGCTTTGTATTATTCCTGCTATGGCTTTTGCAGAAAATGAGATGAATACCAGTCACATAAAAAAAAATCATGCTGCTCTAATAACCAGACTCTTTCAAAGTAGCAAAACACTTCTACAGCCTGTTACACTACTATGACCCAACACAGAAATAGACTTTTAGAAAACAATAATAGATCTTTAACAGGACACTAGTGAAGAGCAATCACACATTTCATAAATCTCTAGACATCAGAGCATGCTTGGGGAATTGGTAATTGTCTCAAAATAAAATGATAGGACTAGGAGAGAATCTCCATTAGTTTGTCAAGTCAGTTTCCAAAGTCCAAACTTTGAGGTTAAAAAGCTCTTTTCTATTTTTGTCTGGCCTGCACTACAGAGAACTGTGAAGCTCCAAGAGCAGTTTCCATCAGCCTGCATTATGACTTCAGTAAAATTAAAGGATTTGGGGGGGGGGGAGGGAGGTGCCTCTGTTTTGTTGTTGTTGTTGTTGTTAACAGTAATGAAACAACAAGCCCAAGAAAACACAAGAAAAATCGCCTTATCCTAGAATGTAGAAGCCCCAGTGGAGACTCTAAGGAGGAAACAGAGCTAAGTTTCTGGAAAAGATCGTGTTTCATGCGTTTATTTTTCTTCCAGAACTCCAAATAGTTGCCTTGGCAAGGACGCTGCCCTGTAGCTGCTTTTTCCCCCGAGCCTTGAAAGTGTTTACAAAAATCAAAAGTTCTAGCAGTACATTTCCATGAGCTCAGTACCAGCTTCCTTCATAGCTGTTAGATTTCGCAAAAGTGAAAGGCAGGCAGGCACGATAACCTCTGGGCTTTCAGCTTGTATTTTAATTACAAACCATAGTAAGGAAGTCAGATAGTTGATTACTGTAACAGCAGGGTATCCTTAGAATCACTGCTTTGATGACTGTTGTTTAAAGCAACCCCGGTGCCATTTCTAGCCGGCCTCTTTATGCTAATCAGATAGCCCACTGGCTCCTCCTCCTTCCAACCTCCCTTAAGAACTGTACACAAACAGCTGTCACTGCGGTTGACTCACACTAGGCAAGAGAAATCTTTCCACTTAATTCCCTGGCAGCAGTACTTTCTTTTTTTTTTTTCTTTGTGTATGTTTTATTCTAGCAGTCCTCACAAAATACTGGAGCAATTGGATTTAATCAGCAAAAGGACCACCCCCCAAAATGCTAAAGATTTAAATCTGTTAGAGATAGTTACAAAAGTTTTTATATAAAAGGAGAGGAAAGTTTCCATGTGGTTTGAAATGAAATGAGAATTACCTTGATTTTAGCCAAATAAAGTGGCATCTTGATGTACAGAAGAAGTCATATTCTTTTTTTCCAGAATCATGACCAAGAGAAATTTGGTATTTTATTAGGGGAGTGTTTTGCTTGTAAGGCAGGACCAGGGTGTCCTTTCCTGGTTCTTTCTGAGTACCTTTTGGGTGATTGATCAAGAAAATAAAATGCCTTTGTGGTTTTCTGGTCACCGCTAGACTTGTAGTACCATGTCTACCACATCAGAGAAAGACAACAGCCATCTGTCCACCTGTTTGAGCATGTGTCAGCCAAAGCTGCAGGAAGACCAGCAACAGCAAGGTGAGTCAGGTGGGCTAATGACTCCCATATTCTGTGATTTTCTGTCTGCTGGGATTTCTGGAAGCACTGTGGGCTGGTGAAGTACTCGATGTGAAATCCTTTGTAATCTCCTATTGTTAAAAGACTATTTTTCAAAGACTAGGCACTGAGGGTGGGTTAGCTTGAAGTGGTTGCTTATTTTTTAAAGGATTATCAAGAATTAGAAGTCTACCAAGAATGCAGATTTCTTGGAAGCGTTTGTGCTTAAACTTCTAGCCACTGTCATTTGCTTAGAGAACAGCAGATGTTGTGTAACTCCAAATCCCCATTCAGGCAAGGTTGACTCAGCTACTGGAGGAACTTAGCTGCAAGTAGCTTCAGTTAGCTTGGGACTGTCCTACCATAGGTGGGGCTATGTTTTGTCTAGATCTCTGGTACATTTATTTATAGGATATATATATATATATATATATATATATATATATATATTCTTGATGCTTGAAAAGTGTATTTTGCTAGAGGAACATTTCACTTGATGATTGTTTCAGAACAAAACCACCCTGTATCATGGCTATTTCCCAATCAGCTGTATTAAGTAGTGGCAGATGGTTGACAGGAATAAATGATTCCTCCAAATCACTCTATCAAGAACAGCAAAGGACACTGTGGGAAAGGCTAGGTGTCCTCATGAATGACATCATCACTTCTCAGAGGTTAAGGATCTGCCAGACATTTCTAACTTCTCATCTGGAACCTGCCATGGCTCAATTTCAATACAAGGGATTGGGAATATGAGGTTTTCATTAATTTTCTGTAGACTCAGTTTCAGACATCAGTGGCAGGAGAGTTGTCTGGAATGGGCTAAAGATTCCCTTTTGTAGGCAGCAAAGGTATGCTAATGTTTCCATGAATGTGTGAAGCCATGTCCCTGTGAGTCCTGGGGTGACTTCATTCTGCACAAGCTTAGCATGGTATGGGTTGAAAATACTTTGTGTGCAATGAAAGCACTGTAAACTTCTTAGACTCTACTAGACCATTAAGGCTAAAATAAATCATTTTGAAACAACAGCCTTAAAATGAGAAACCCTAGAACACACCAGAGGGTAGGCACAGTGCTGACAAATGTTTCCATTTCTTAATAGCACATTATGTAGTTTAGTTTGCTCTTTTTTTCTACTCAAAATGTTTAAAAACTACTCTCTGTCCCAACTGCTGATGTAATATTTCTTATAGAAAATGTAGTGAGGAAACAATACATGGTATCATCAGTAATTCACCACCTAAACATAGTTGCAATTAACTTCTTAATAGGCAGTCTAGACTTTCCTTCTATGTTCATATATAGTTTTTCCTCTTGATTTTTATAATAAAAGTACTGATTATGTACATAATGTTTTGTAAACTGCTGTTTAATTTAATAACATATGACACATGATAACTAAATTCTCATGTCATTATATGTTTTCTTCTATGACTATTTTTAGTAGTTGCATGTCTTCCTTTCATGTCATTATAGCAAAATTCCCCCAGGTCTTTCCCTACTGTTAAATATTTTATTTCTTTCTAACTTTTCATCATTTTCATTCATGCCGTGTTAAACCTAAACTAATGGATAGATTTAAGCACAGATATAGGATTCTTTTCTTAGAAAAATTCTTAGAGGTAGATTTTTGTGTTTAAATGAGTATTTTTTAAAAAAACTTCTTTTTCTTGTCAATTGGCTCTCAATAGCCAAGGGATATACTCTCAGCAATACTAGACATTATTTAAAAATTGTTTTCTAATTTTGTAAGCGAAAAATAATGTGTCACTGTTGTTTTAATTTAAGGCAGGCTGACTTAATGGTCTCTTTTTTACAGGCCATATCCACAGAAGTCTGGGAATATCATTATGATGACATACTTCTGAAAATACCAACAAGACTAGAAGTCTGGTCTCTTACTCAGACTTCAGCCTTTTGCCTACTGTATTTTGAAAGCAACTAGATTCTTTCATGGCTGAGTCGCAAAACATGTGCCCACAGAAACCACAGCCCACAGAGCTGTGAAGCCTGAGAATGCAGTCCAAATTGGCCATTGATTACCACAAGAAATGTCATCTAGAGGTCTCAGTTGACAAATGACACTGGGTAGTGTTTACTAGGCTATTTAATTGCACGACAGTTACTGGAATCTAAAAGTTTACACTTGCTCCAGTCCTGGAATTTTAAAGTATTCAATCCAAGTAGTGGTTCTGATTTTTTCAAAGCTGTATTTGTTCCTTGCTAGTATGTAAAGTTCAGCAAAGAAGAGGCAAAGCCATTAGTCTGGCTGTGGATCTGTTCACTGAAGCATTCTGAGTTCAGGGATTTGGCCTCACTCCAGGCAGAGCAGTCCTCAAGCTCTCTTATTTACCACATAAACTAATTAAGTTGCATTAACCTCTTCTGAGAATATGACTAGCTTTGACATACAGGGTCTGTTTCCTAATTCTTTATTCTAAATGCTAAAGTGTTTATGTCAACTCTGAACTATTTGAATCTATATCTACCTATGTACTCGAAATAGTAGTTTGCATGGATCACACAGATGAGGCATTTACCTTTGGTAATTATTTGGTCAACAACTAGGTACTAGTATTGTGGGAATATCAATTGAACTGAGCCAATTTAGTCATGATTTCCTGTCTATATGGAATTTTCATTGTTTGGTCACAGATGCTGTTATTTGTCAAGAAGAGAGTCCAGGATAATCTTTGCCCTACTGGCTGCTGCCTTATAGCTTCTTCTATGATTTTTTTATTCATTCATTTATAATATTAACCTTATGACCATATTTGTAAATGTTAACATATATGCCTATAAAGCTACAACATGACTCATGACACATTACCTGTAGTAAACAGACAAACATCTAAAATTGTCAGAAGAAAACTCACTCTCAGGGCTGGGAAGGTGGCTCAGTGGTAGAGCACTTGCCTTGCATGCATGAGGCCCTGGGTTTGATTTCTCAGCACCACATAAGCAAAAAGAAAAAGCCGCAAGTGGCATTGTGTCTCAAGTGGTAGAGTGCTAGCCTTGAGCTGAAGAGCTGAGGGACAGTGCCCAGGCCCAGAGTTCAGGCCCCACAACCGGACCCCCCCCCAAAAAAATAAGTAAATAAAACTCACTCTCTTTTTTTGTGGATCTCAAGTTTGAACTCAGAGTCTCAAGGCCTTGCATTCACTTAGCTGATATTCTACCAATTTTTTTCATGCCTCTTGCCCAACACTTTGCTGGTTAATTGGAGATAAACTCTCATGGATTTTCCCCCTGGTTGGCTTTGAATTTGATCTTCTAAATTTTAGTCTCCTGAGTAGTTGGAATTGTAAGCATGAGCCACCAGTATCTGGTAACCTTTCCTCTTTATAAGATGATTACTTGAGGTATTTTGTTATAGTAATGAAAGCTGACTAACATATATAGAGTGGCTGAATTTTAATTAATTAATTAATTTATTTATTTATATGCCAGTCCTGGAGCTTGAACTCAGGGCCTGGGCACTGTTCTTGAGCCTCTTTGTGCCCAAGGCTAGTGATCTACCACTTGATCCACAGCACTACTTCTGGCTTTTTATTTTATGTGGGACTGAGGAAATGAACCCAGGGCTTCATGCATTCTAGGCAAGCACTCTCCTGCTAAGCCACATTCCCAGCCCCTGAATTTTAAAATTTTGAAAATATGATGTTTGGGGGAAGATGTAGAGTAACTATAGCTCTCCATTCATTGCTGTGAGATGGTATAAACATTGGAAAATGGATTAGCAATTTCTTATGTAGTGAAACTATATTGATACTATGAAACATCAGTTCCCTTTGGACACATTTTCTGCAAAGAAATGAACATACATTCATAAAGACCTTGAACAAGAGTGTTCATATAAGCTTTTTACTCATGTGAGTCCTAATATATGAACAGCTAAATGTTCGTAAGTAGAAAAATTGATCAACAAATTGTATTCATTTGCTTGAACAGTTTGCCGAAGAACTAAGAATGTGACAGTGTGCTATATGTGAACAGGTCCAGCTCAAAAATGTCTAGATTTCAAGATGAAGCTCATACAACCTTAATAATTAGCAATGTTTCATCTCTGCATTTATCCTTAAAGCTTACAATTTCTCCATTAAATAATATAGTATTCCAAAAGTCACCAAACTGATGAGATTAACACAGGATAAAAAGAACTACTGAACTTTGCTACAGCTGGTAGGGGGTGACTTAGTGATGGAAAGATAACTAAACATATTATCAGTGGCAATAATGGAGATGGTGACTAGAGAGAAAAATGAAGAAAAACGAAGAGAGACTATCAGAGAGAAGCTTCAATTTTAGCAAGGTTTTCAGAGCAGAAACCATCAGACAAAACAAATTTGAGGAAAAATCTGAAGGAAGTGAAAGAGGACATTGAGCAAGGCCAGGGAAGAGCAGTCCCAGTCAGACGAAAGAGGTATGTAACGTCTGAGGTTCAGAATTCAGACTTAGCATTAACTCTATTTTGCTACTGTTCTTATTTCATCTGGAAGAATGCAGTGTTACTACTGTTGTGTGCTGTGCTCACAGGGATAGAGTTCAAGACCTCAGTGTGTGCCTGAAACTACATTCGCATGGAACTGTGTGTGTGCTATCTTTCCTTATACAGTCACCTGGAATATTCAGGGGATGTACATTCACAGATTCAACAAACCCTGGTCAAAAAAATTGGAGGGAGCACGGATGGCACTTGTATTAAATATCTAGAATTCATCCCCTTGCCATCATTCCCTAAACAAGGCTGTGTACATAACATCTATTCTTGTAGCATTTTACTATTTTGGGCATAAGTAATGTAAATAAAGATCATAAAAAGAAAAAGAGAAAAAAGTCATATGGAGGTTATCAGAAGTATCCAGAAGGGTGAATATAATTGATATGCAAATGCTATGTCATTTTATACAAGGGAATTGAGAATCCTTGGACTGGTATCCACTGGGGGTATAGGAGAATGCGTGGGTTGCACCTGACTTTT